ACTGTGTGCTTTGTTTTGGAAAAAATCAAGGCCCATATGGTAACAGACCACTATGAGTTGAACGGAAACAAACAGTCGAAATGCCACTGGGTCAGTGTTAATAATTCATTCAAATAAAGAAACTTCAGCTAACGATTTCATAGAATCACCACACATAATATCCAACAACGACGATGGGTCGAAGTACAGCGCACAAAAATGAAGAAATTTACGAGAAGAATGAAACAAGGCAACCTAAGAATTAGCCCCTTAGAAGCATCATTTCAAGAACTGCCGAGACTAGTGGCAACGGGGATGACAATTACGAGAATGAGAATGAGCAGAAGTATCAGCCCAATACACATCCGCTTTCTGCTACTTTTCTGGAATTTCTTTGCAGTCTGCAAATCCTTTGTTCCATCCTTGACACAGTGGGAAGCATGAAGCACATGGTGTTCAATATCATCCATCTTCTCACCCTGTGCCTCCACCATCACAGTCATATCTAGGGACACCTGGTGCAGCTCTAGAAGGCTCTTCTCCATCTCTTTAGCTGCGTCGTGCCTGTCTTAGATCTCCACCTCCGTCTCCAGAACAGTTCCCTTGCCGTGCTCTTGTATTGCCTTGCTCAAGAATTCCTCACCTCCATTTGAGATGATCTTCTCTATGACTTCCTCATTTGGGTGTTCCCCTGTTACTGTGAAATATCGTCTTCCCACTGTTTCTTTGTACTCCGTCATCATCCTTTGCCTCGGTCCCTGAAACTCCATCATGATCTCCGTCAGTTTCTTTCGGAGTCCGTTGGTGACGGCTATTCGGGTCCTGTAAATCGCCGGGGTTCCTTCTTTCAGCCCAGAAAGCCTCCTGTTGGCAGCATTGGCTCGGTCTATTTCTTCCAGCTGAGACCGTATGGTTCTAGCCTTCTTGAGCACAGTGACAATGTCGGCATTGATCCTGTTTCTTAAGGATTTCAGGTCTTCAGGCTTGGGAAGGGATTTGCTCTGTTCATCCTCCTGCAGAAGCCTGCTCAATATTTCTTGGAGATGACCTATCTCTGTTTTCACCTTCTCTGCCTCTTCTAGGAAGAGACCCATGTCAGTATCGAGATTGGTTGTTGAAGAGCTCAGTTCTACTTCGCTGGGAGGAAGACCGGCACGTCTTTCATGGCGGTTTTCTTCAAATCCACGTAGCTGGTGAATGATTTGGTCATTAGATCGTTCATTTTTGCTTCCGGAATATTAAGAAACCCCCGCCTAAATCGACGATAAAAATGAGATCTCAATTTCACCAAACGTATTGCGATCTAGACTGAGCACAGAATCAGCGATAATTTTCAAATTAGTTAAAAATTTGGAATCCAACGAACAGGCTCGAGGATACTGGACTTGTGAGGCTGCGATCAGACCTTTTTGAAACGGGGAGAGGGGAGAGCTCTTTCAGAAGAAGATCGCTGCACGAGAGCTTAATCAAACCCTGGCAACAACAAAAGAAATCTGGGAATGAGATTGAAAATGTAAAGCAGATGAAAGTGATTTATGCCGAGGATGGAATTGATCAAGATCCTAACGGATAATTTTCAGAGGACAGAGGGCCTGTGGGAGAGTAGCCGTTGTAATTCGGCATGTGGCAGCGGCTTCATTTTTTTCATTTTCAATTTTTGGTCACCCCTTCTATATTGTATTGAGCTGTCTTCAATTCCAAGTGCCGAAAAACGTCCCGAGCCCATCATGCCGGGCTGTTTAGGCTTTAAAATTATAAGGGCTGGATTTGATATTTTTCCCTTCAAATAGAAAATAAATCCTGGAGGGTTGGTCCTAGAAGGCTAAGGACTTAAAAGGACCGTCCCTTTTAAGCCATTTTATATTTTTTTTTGTTTTTTAAATGTTTTTAAATAATTTTAATATTATTAATTTTTTACATTATTAATAATATTTCTAATATTTAGTTATTATTATCATTTTAAAATTAAATTTAATGTTAGACAATAATTTATCCAATTAAATTTTTAAAAAATGGGTTAATTTGGACTTTAATAATGATTTGATTTATATTATATGCGTTGATATTTTTAAACTATATATATATTTGATAATAGAGTATTTTTATACTTATATAACTTGTGATTCTATAATTTGCATTAGAAATTTATGAGTTTCAACAACAATGTTTCTCACATTAAAGTAAAATAATAGCTAGATTGTAAAATTTAAAAGTAAAATTCCTACAAAAAAAAATTAATATTTTTATTACGAAAGAAAAGCATACTTATGAAGAAGAGTAATTAATTATAGTGATGATGAAGTTTCAAAAGATTAATGATAATATTTATTTATTACACAATTGCATTATAGATAAAACTTTTAGATGTTGTTATCTTGTTAATGAATGTTTTAGATGTTCTTGGATGTTGATGGATATTTATATATGATGATATTTTATATTTGTGATTTAATTTTATTCATATTTATGTCTTTTTTAAATAATTTCATTGGTTTATTTTTATTTTTTATAAAAAATATGATAAATAAAAAAATAATTTTTTTCTTAAACGGACCAAAAGGCCGTGGGCCGGCCATGAGCCCTGTAGTTTAAGGGCCTGACCTAACAAATTAAGGTATTTTTAAAATTTTAGTCCTGGAGGGCCGGACCGGCCCTGGTTCCCACCTCTAAGTGCCTGTGACGGATTTATCAAGGTGGGGGAGTACCTATGACGGAAATATCTGCTATGTTTTATTTTAATTCGTGAGTTCATGAATTTTCTCGTTTAAAATTTAAATTGTAATTTGATTCTGATTTATAAAAAATTTGTATAAAAATAAGATCGAATGTTTTTGGTGAAAATATATTAAAATGTTCAAGTATTGTATGGTTATAAAATTTGACATCTTCTGTTTAAAAAAAAAGGAAAAAAAAGAAGAAAGGTGACAGCAGGTAGCAGCTAAGGAAAGCCTCCAATACTAAATAAGAGCAAAGAATGCACAAAATCTATAATAATAGGAATATTTAGATAAAAACTAAATCATAATTTTAAAAATATTTTTATAATATAAGAAATAAATATATAAAAAAATCTGTTTTATTTTACGAAAAAAAGTTTTTGAAAAATACTTTTCCTCCTCCTTCTCCCCAAACGCCCTTACGCTTTTCTTGGAATGAACAATAAATGGATGTGTGTGTGTATGAGCACGGGGTCCTCAATAATAAAAGGGTGACGTAAGGATGTTTCGGACTTTGGGTAAACCCACGCGCTTACCCCAATCAATATCATTGTGATTCAGCGTATTTTATTTATTTATTTTTTCTCATGAGTGAGAGACCGTCATTTTATCTGACTAAATAAATATTTTAAATTAAATTATTTTATCGTCTTAATCTAAAAAAAGTATTTAATTGAATTTTAAGGATAGGATGTGCTGTATTTTATTTTTGCCAGCGACTAGTTTTATTTTTAGTTGACAAACAATACGCGAGTGTATACATGATTATCACTTTTGGCGTTTCTTTTTTTAAGGTGCGCACAAATGTGCGGGGTTTAAGCTCATTCTTAATAAATAAGTAGTGCCATCGACGGAAAACAGTGAATATGACTTTTTGTTTGGGCATTTTTAATTCTCTCATGTGAATTTCATTTTATTAAGTAATAACAAAATAAATCATTACACCAAATCCACAACAACATTGAATCATGTCATATAATATGCAATAGCAAAATGTGGTTTGAAGGACGTCAAATGCAATCGAGCTTATCCACAAAAATTATTATTATTAATTAATTTGTGACGTGGAGATTTTTATATCCATCACTCGTTCTGTGCTGAGATTTTTTTTCAATCGAGATCGTTGAATGATTTTTAAATTTTAGATTGTCTTATCTTAATATACTGGGAAAAAAAAAACATCAATGCCTTCCAATAATAAAAAAAAATCGTTGCTGGTTTCCAGGCAAATGTGTTTAATCAGTGCTTATCAAATAAAAGTAAAAATAGACAGTGATAACTAAATTTCAATTAAAAATAGTTTTCACCTGATCTAATGAATCTAATGATGAGAATATTTGCTTTCTCTCTCTCTTTTTTTTTTTAAAAAAAAGAAAACCTCAAGCAAGGGGTTGGAAACGAATCAAACGATAGGCAAATTAAAAAAAAAAAAAAAGCAACCATAAAGTAAAGGAAAAAACTGAAATAAAGAAATAAAATGAATAGAAATGTGCAGAGTAACAATATTTTCTCTTTAAAAAGTCCGAATAATGCATTTGACTGGGAAACAAAAAAAGTAATATGTAATCAAATCGTGAGATGACGGATAAACAGATCACAAACATACAATCTAATTCAGAAGGTGTAATTTTATATATTGCAAGCACAAAAATCATCCATCGACAGTTTTTCACGACGCGAATTATAATTATAATTATAATTAGTATTATCCCACTATCATGATTCCGTAAAATAGAAATTACTAATTTATTATTATCAACTGGGAACAGTTTTCTTAATTAGTACTCCTTCGATCCTTAATATAAGATCCATTTAACTAATTTGATTAGATTAAGGAAGTTAGGTAAGTTAGTTAATTATAAGAAATGTGCCACGTTTTTCCTAAAACACCATAATTATCTTTATTAATATCTCTTCTCCCTCTTCTACTTGATTATGGTTGAGGGAGTACCTATAGGGATAATTTAGAGAAAATTGATAAATATAAAAAATGGGTCTTATATTTAGGACCAAAACCAACTCAATAATTGGATCCTATATTAAGGACCGGAGGAGTATTAAGCAAGTAAGAATACCCTTGTGTAACGTGAAATCTAGAGTGAATTATATCATATATGATTTGAAAATAACGTAACTTCTTATAAATTTTATTATATTACCGTTGGTTATCTATTGACAGCAGTTAAATGGTTTTCCTTTCAATGGAAAAAGAAAATAAAAGAAGAATCACGTTAGTTAATGGTTAATCTTTCAGTTATATTTTTTAAAAAAATAGTGTCAACCTCAAAAAAAAAAAACAGTTTTTTAATATGGGAGCGGAGCACGAGATCGAAGTACATCCGCCGGTGAGGTTATCTCGGACCCTTCTCTCCCAAAAGATTAGGTAAGTCACTCGAATGGTGGCAATATTATATAACACCTCCATCGAAACGGCAATTCATGCTTTTTTGCTCACCTCAAGATTCTTAAGCTTCTCCCTCTGTTGCCAATTGATGCAGAGAGGGACCGGCGACCTCAAAAAAGCGATATTTTTTTGACCTCTTCGTTTTTCTGCAGAGATTCTTATAGGGAATAGTGGGAATAGTCGAGAAAGCGAGCGGGAAAAAGGTAAAAGCAGCGACATAGAAACATGCTTGGTCCGATAAAGGCCGCGATTGGAGATGCAGTGCTCACCTTTATGTGGGTCTTCTGCGCATCCACGCTTGGATTAGCCACTAGCATGATAACAGCATCACTCGGTCTTCAGCATCTGTCCTTCAATGGTCTTAATTACGCATCAATTCTCATCACCACTTTCCTTGTCTTTACCCTCGTCTTTATCTTCACCATCGTCGGGAATGCCTTGGGTGGTGCTACCTTCAACCCCACCGGCACTGCTGCCTTTTATGCCGTTGGTCTCGGCTCGGACTCCCTTTTCTCCATGGCCCTACGTTTTCCTGCTCAGGTTATTCTCACTCTAATTTCTTGATTTTTTTTTCCTTGGGATGAGGTGGTTGAATCTTACCTTAATTGTGAATCCCGTTAATTTTGTCCTCTCCCTTGGAGGAAATTTTAAGAGATCAATGTGAATTAATGAGTGTCCTGAAATGTCTGATTTGAATCTCTGCATTCACAGGCGTTAGGTGCTGCGGGTGGTGCTGTGGCAATCATGGAGGTGATGCCGCCGAAATTCAAACACTTGATCGGCGGACCTTCGTTGAAGGTTGATTTGCATACTGGAGCTATTGCTGAAGGGGTTCTGACATTTGTGATCACTCTGGCTGTTCTTTTTATCATACTCAGGGGTCCTCGTAACGAATTGTTGAAGACTTGGTTGCTGGCTATGTCTACCGTGGTTCTGGTCATGGCTGGCTCTGCTTACACCGGCCCCTCTATGAATCCTGCCAATGTGAGTGATCACATCATTGCGTTAGCGTTTGAATTTTATTTGACAAATGTTGTTTGATAACCTCTGAAAAAGACTTGTTATTTTACCGTTGTGACTCCTTGTCCTATTGTTTTCAAAATATTTTATTCCGTGTAAATTTGTCTTTCATATGATTCCTAAAGGTGAATTACTGTTATGTACGGTGTGACTTCCAAAAGAAAGTTTGTGTGTTATGTTATGTGGAAATAATGAGTAGTTAGGGGATAGGTTGAAGGCTGTTAGTAGGCTAGGCACCCAAGTGCACGGCTACGAGGGAGATAAGATATTTGAAGGCTGTTAGTAGGCTAGGCACCCAAGTGCACGGCTACGAGGGAGATAAGATATCCAGATGTAATCGTGCGTGCGATATGGACATATCGTTCTGTCGTGAAATACTGATAACGTCTTCCTTGCAACAGCTTGTGTGCAATTGTGCACAGGTCCTACCCTTCTGTTGTTCAATACCCAAAACTAATCACTTGCAGTAAAAGGGCAATGGATTTGCGTCTTGCTATTTATATGACAAAATTTTTGTATTGATGAACAATAATCCTAGATCTTGATAACATTAAATAGCTTTTAACGTATGCTGTCTTCATCATGTTCATTATTTCTTGGAATCCCACCCACTCCTGTACTTTTGCATGTTGACTCTGTGTCTCTGTCAGAGGGTTGTTGGTTCCGAGCTCGCTAGTGTTATTAAACTGAGAAAATCAAGGGGTTAGCTTTTTACTCCCCTGGACTCCCTCATGCTGCCCTAAATAATCCTAATGATCACAAAGATAAGTCCAGTTAATCCTTGGTGGTCTCTTTCCATTCCACCTTGGATCCTTTTGGCCTCTTTTATATGCCTTGATTATTTTTCTTTTTTCAGTTTAGCACTTTCTTCCTGTGAATAATGTATATAGTTATAATCCAGCTCTGTCTTTTTGTATTATATAGTGTAACGCTGATAGGATTTGGTGAGTTCTGGTGTTCAATCAGTCTTAATTTTGAAATGAGGATAATAAAGTTCTCTTTCTGTGGCTGTGGTGTGTCGTGTTTTTTTTTTTTTTTTGGGGGGGGGGGGGAGAACCTGATCTTGAATCAAAGATGGAGAATGAGTGTAGACGTCAAGAACATGACAGAATGGATACAAGGCTTAAAAAAGGAGCTATAACTACAATACCAAATAAAATTGACTTCTCTGGAATTAATAGTTTCACCTTGTGATGTGGCAGATTACCATCCCATTGACGTTGCCTTGGCTACTGGGTGAAGCAGTAAATTTTGTGGAAAAAAGCTTGATCAGTTTATGACCTTAATGAATTTGCCCCATGATGTAGTAACAGAAGTTTTATTTCATGTTCTGTTTATGCTACTGAAGTTGCATTTCTTTGTCGACAAAGTGTGATGATAAACTAGGTTATATTCTCTCTCAACATAACCCAAACCTGCTTGCCACGATGGACAATTAGACCATGAATCTTAAAAACGCTAGCTATTGAGAAATTTTCTTTCCAAACTTTAAGATTACCCTTAAACATTCTTTGTATGCTTGAGTTGCCCCAATCTGAATTGAATTTTCCCCCCGAACAATGTTGAATTGATATAATATACGAAAAGCACAACAGAAGTCTGTCTTGCGGCTTTTTTCCCAAAATTTCTCATTACTCTCTAATGTATCTCCTGCAGCTTACTTCTCTAATGCTAATTATGCTATCCATTCCTTCAGGATCACACACACACACAGAGGTATTGAATTACTGAATTTGTTATGTGTGCAGGCGTTTGGTTGGGCATACGTAAACAACTGGCACAATACATGGGACCAATTCTATGTGTACTGGATTTGCCCCTTCATTGGAGCAATAGTAGCTGCTTGGGTGTTTCGAATTCTGTGTCCCCCACCAGCACCAGTTAGGAAACAGAAGAAAGCCTGAAGAGGCCCGCTAGATTTGGTTGTGTTAGCTTTATATATTGATAAGCTCCATGTTTATTTGTTGGGACCCTTTTTCTTTCCTCCTCCTCTTGTTCCCCTTCCTTCTCCCTTCTCTTCTCTTGTTGCTGTTGGGACTCCAGCTGATCTTCATTCAATAACAAGTTGTGTTTAGCCAATCCATACATTTGTGCTGAATTGATGCCTTTTTTCTTTTTTTTTAGGTCTTTTTTATGCGACTCAGCTCTAATGTCATAATAATTCTATCCGTGATATATCTAGACGCCTAATTAACCATTAAACTTGGATCGTTTCAACCAAGCCGACCTGCTAATTACAACTTATTTTCCATCTGAGTAATGCCCACGGATTTTTTATTTTGGTTAAAAAGCATTTACTATGAATGTTCATGGGGAATGAATGTTGTAACGTATTTAATGAGTGATTCTAAAGTCTGACACGACACTGGAAGTATAATTAATTGTCATTTCCTTCTTAACCAGCTCCTAAAGTTGCCGTCCGATGTTAATACAGCGTTTCAATTTTCTCCCCATCGTTGCGTTTTTTGTCAGTGCGGTAAGCCGCTTGCGACTTCCCATTTTTATGGTCTGTTTCCCCCCCCCCAACCCCCCAAACACAAGAAAGCGGTTGGTGCTTTTTTTGTTTGGCCGAAGTTGTGGAAAAGTTCAGAACAACTCGGGAATGCGCGTGTCCGAGTCCAACTAGGAGACCTGACTCGGTTTCTTTCATTACAATTTACAGTTACATGTAACAAATTCCAGGACGCGGCACTGGCACACAAAGCACATTTCTCTCACTACAGGGAAACAGAGTTACATCCCTTCACTGGTCATCGTCTTCATCTCCTCATCGTCGGCGCTATCACTGCCTTAATCTTCTTTGCTCTCATAACCAACAGGCATTTCCTTTGGCGACTGTCCATCTCGATTGCACTGAATTGGACGACGTTTTCACATGCTCGTCGTTTTCAGATTATTCAATTCACAGACCAATAGATCATTTTCCATCACTTTGTAGATAACCTCAAGCCTTCGAGCTGGATCCGCTACAAGAGCCCAAGCAATTGAAGGGTCCCCCTGCCACTGGGAACGGTCAGATCCGCTACCGATCGCCATCTGCGGCTGATCTTTTTGAAGGGCAGGGCAACAATTCTCCACCGTCCTATACCGCCGATCAACACCTTCCCGAATTTGAATCTACCAAAATGCTCAAGCGCCCAGGTCGCCAAGAGTCTTTCTCGGACAAGATCTCCAGATTCCGTGGGGTTTTGTTAGTGGTCTCCGTTCCGCTCCTTCTCATTACTTTTGTACTCTACTTAATGCCTGCAAGCTCTTCCAACGAATTGATTCAGGATTATGCTCTCGCTCATCGTAAAATTAACCCCGACCAGAAATTCTCTGATTCCTATGCTGTTATCTTCGATGCTGGTAGTTCTGGGAGCCGTGTGCATGTCTTCCATTTTGACCACAATCTAGATCTTGTTCACATTGGCCAAGATCTTGAGCTTTTTGAGCAGGTGGCATCGTTGTGTCTTTGCTGTGCCTTTGTAATTACTTATCTGCGTCAACTATCATTTATCATTCTCGTTACTGCTGACCCTCTTAATTATTATATTGTAGATAAAACCGGGTTTGAGTGCATACGCTCAGAATCCCCAGGACGCCGCGGGTTCCCTCATTTCCCTTTTGGACAAAGCGGAAAGTGTTGTTCCCCGTAACTTACGCCCAAAGACGCCCGTTAAAGTTGGGGTGTGTGTATACCTCGTTCCATCGTCGCTACCGATATTACTGTTACTGTTTCAAAATATGTTGGTTTTACGTCGGAGTTTCTGGAGTAAAATTGAATTTCTATGCTAATGCAGGCAACGGCAGGTTTGAGGGCTTTGGAAGGAGATGCTTCTGATAGGATCTTGCAAGCAGTGAGTATAGCTACATCTTACCATGTTGAATGCTTAGAAGACTATACCAACTCTATTGACTTAAAAAGTTTTCAAATTATTTATTTAGGTTAGGGATTTGCTTAAGGAAAGAAGCACCCTAAAATCTGAGGCTGATGCGGTTACAGTACTGGATGGAACCCAAGAAGGTGCTTATCAATGGGTATGATTTATAATCTTATCTATTAGTACTATCGAATCCTGCTTTTTTCCCCTAAGCAAGCTTGTTTGAAAAAATATTGCACGCTTGTGTGGTGGGTGCAACATATCTAACCAACAACATATCTAAGGATTGGGTTGTTGACAGAGCACGATGGCGTCGTGTGATTCATGTAGCCGACCCCACCTAGTGGGATAAGGCTTGTTGTTTGTTTGTTTGTTTGTGTGGTGGGTGCCTTGTTTCATTTGGATTTTGGTTTGGTGTATTATTGAGTCATAATGAAACCCCCATTTCACCTTTCTTTCTCAGTTTGTTGCATTTATATAGTTATCCAAATAACATGTCACCACATCAATATCAGGTGCCCTCAAAAATGTATTAGGAATGGAGCACTGATGTGAGGAAGATAGAGAGAGAGGAATGGAGGGACTGTGATGATTGGTGATATCATCAATGAGGAAGATGGAGAGTGAAATGGCGAATTACAAATTTAAGAGTGCTTTAGTAGTTTCATGAGTTATACTGTTAAAGATAGATTTAACTTCTTATTTAGACATTAGGGGTTTTAATTGAAACAATTTAGACATTAGGGGTTTAACTGAAAGATCAGGGCTTCCGTTCCAGTTTTTTTAGGTTGGCGGATATTGGAATTAAGGGCAAAAGTAGGGGTGGATATATGCAATTTCCCCTTGAGAAACACAAACAATGAACAATTTACCTCCTGGGACTGGTTTTATTTTAAGTTTTGTGGTTTGATTTTGGTCCTAGTTTAGCACCTGAGCTTTTATTGTGTTAGTTTTTTTTTTTTTTTGGGGGGGGCGGGTCTTGTGTCAATTTAATTCTTGTAAGAATTTATCTTTTTACACAGCTAGAAATAATTCGATGTAAAAGTTCTCATTAGTTTTTTGGCACTAAAATGTGAAGAAATCAGTCCATTCCATGGTCAGCCTTGACTCATAATCAATTCAGGTCTTTTAGGGTTAAGACAGAATGAATTGGCCAATGGGGCCAAATATTTAGATTTCATTGTTTTCTGAAGGGGAGTGGGATTTAGTTGCTGATGTGAAAAGGGAATTTGTATTGATTCATTCAGGAGAATTTTTACTTAGTCCTACCGATTGTGAAAAGGGTTGAAAATAATTAATTGGTAATACTTTACCCATAAAGCCTTTCATGTTACTCTTGCGTTGTGCATTAGATAATTTATAGCACTCAAATGTGAATTCTTATAATTGTTCTTCCATGATAAATATTATTATTGCGGGGTACTTGTCATGTTGTCCTTAATTATAAACTTGGATCTCAAAAGGGAAGGTATTGCTGTTCAATTTGTGAGCAACCTAATCAAGTTAAAAGTCTCACAATAAATGAATCATATCATATGAGAAACTATTCTTTGATAGTTGATTGAAAAATTAAGGGATCTATCTAACCTTGCCATTTGTTTGATTTAGGTGACTATTAACTATCTTCTGGGAAAACTGGGGAAAACATATTCAAAGACAGTTGGAGTAGTTGACCTTGGAGGTGGTTCTGTTCAAATGGCATATGCCATCTCAGACACTGATGCTTCGAAGTCTCCCAAAGTAGCAGATGGAGAGGATCCATACATTAAAGAGATGTTCTTAAGGGGAAGGAAGTATTACCTCTATGTTCACAGGTTTCCTTCTTACTCTAGATTTAGGATATGCCAATTTGAGTTGCTATAATATTACAGTTCCAGGCAGAATTAACATGCCGATGTGAGTCCTCCGGCATTTGTTGTCTTTAGCAGGACTATTCGTATAACTAATGTTCTAGATAGACAGACAGGCTGTACCATTTTCCATGACTAACGGCATTGAACATCTTGCTCTCAGTTACTTGCGATATGGATTACTAGCCGCTCGTGCAGAGATTTTGAAGGTTTCTGGAGATTCTGACAATCCTTGTATCTTATCTGGCTTTGATGGTAAATATATTTTCTCCTTTCTGCATAGCTTTGGTTTTTCAATGCTGGGACCCCTGCCCCCTTATAATTCAGTGTATTGAGAATTGAATCCACGGAAATTTGCATATTAGGTATTTTCTTCGCAATTAGCGTATAATGCAAATAACATGCGTATTTTCTTTCCTGCTTGTTAGGGTCTTACAACTATGGAGGAAAGTCGTACAAGGCCTCGGCCTCCCCTACGGGTGCAAGCTTGAATGAATGTAAAAGTGTAGTTCTCAGGCTCTCAAAGTTAATGAGTCAACATGCACGCATATGAAGTGCACTTTTGGTGGGATATGGAATGGTGGAGGAGGAGATGGTCAGAAAAATCTTTTTGTCGCCTCATTTTTCTTTGATCGGGCCGCTGAGGTATTTTATCATTTTCTCCGACTGTGGAACTAGTACTGAAAGGTCATCTGTAATTTAATCCTGATAGCATGGCCATGCTACATTTTGCTAACACGAAATTTTATGCATAGGCTGGTATTGCTGATCCAAACCTACCCGTTGCCAAAGTTCATCCTGTGGATTTTGAGGATGCAGCGAAGCGAGCTTGTGAAACTAAACTTGAGGATGCTAAATCCACTTATCAGAGCGTCGGGGAGGGGAATCTTCCGTTTATATGCATGGATCTTGTTTATCAGTATACATTGCTTGTTGATGGATTTGGTAAGTCTTGCGCCGATATTTGAATATTTGTGATGTTTTAAACGAAATTTGAGCACTGTTGTCATCTTCGTGACCTGAGTGATTCCTTTGTCGTCAGGCCTGGATCCCTGGCAAGAGATTACCCTGGTGAAGAAAGTAAAATATGAGGATTCTCTCGTTGAAGCAGCATGGCCGTTAGGCAGCGCTATAGAAGCCGTATCGTCACTTTAGATTACTCGTCCGGAGTCTTGAAGCGCACTTTTATATTTCCCACAAGAGTTTGAGGTGAAATACGGCCATTTTTGGATGACCAGACATTGCAGTCAGGCTGTGCTGGGATTGGAATTGGGTGTACATCTCAGGGACAGGGAATAATCGGAGAAGATATATAGCTTCACTAAATTTCATTTGTTCTTCACATATTATCAGATTCGCAGCTCTCGAAAACTGATTCGATTCAATTAGCTCATATATGGTCTTAGGAATGAGAAGATAGCAATACCATTTCATTTTTGTTTATTCATTATGGTTTTGATTCGTGATAAAAGTCCATTCCTTTGTTCTTTATTTCGATTCAATTTGACTTAAATTTTCAAAATTATTCAGAAATTCAGTCTTTTTTTCTTCCAGCATAATTTTCAGTCATTTAAAAAAAGTATTATTAATCTAAATAAAGATGACATATATTTATGAATGAAATAGAGGATCGAACTAAAATTGAATAAACTAATAACTGAAAGTGAATTTCAGGGTAAAATTAAAATAATTAAACTCGAAATTAAATTTCGTTGAAGAAAAATTTATGCCTTTTCCCGTTAATAGAAGGGGAGTTATACTAAAGTAGGGCTCAGGATTTTTTTTTTTTTCAAACAAAATTTTGGATAGGGATTTGGTCCAAGCCACGGGCTAGGCTCCACGATTCTAGTTCTACACTCTACAGTGTCTCTCGGAGTACCGCGACGGAATTCAAGCCCCTTGCCACTAAATATGCGGACCGATAGGTGAGGGCTAGGGAGGTGCTTACGCACTGTTTGGTTAGAGGTTTTTTTAAAAAAAACAGAGAGAGGAGGGGATAGGTTAAATATGTTTGGTTCAGAAAATAAAAATAAAAGTAGAGAAAAAATTATCTCTTAGTGCTTCCCTCCTCTCCTCCTGCTCCCCTTCAAATTTGAGATTTTTTGGAGGGGACAGAAATTTTGTATATTATTCTAACTAAATTATCCTTACTAATTATTTAATATTATAAGTTTGCCCTTTCTTGCTAAAAACCCCTTTTTTCACCTCCTTCTCTTTCTCAGATTTGCCGCTATTTTTCTTTGCTATTATCAATCTTTTGATGGAAAAGTAGTCTTTTATATTTAGAAGAAGACAAAATGATGACAAGGGGATATAAAAATAATATTTTGAGAAATAGCTTGTGCGTCCGAGACTAACAATGAATATATACAAATATTTTGCACATAGGGACAGCAATCCATTTTATTTTTTATTTTTAACCTACTTTTTAGAAGTATAAAATTTTAACAAGCATATTAAAATTAACGAAACAATATGTTATAATTAATAAAAATTATTATTTAAAATGGATATAATTTTTTGTGTTACATGTAGGTACGGTGATTAATTTTTTGACATTCATAAATTAGAAAATAATAATTCTGATTTAAATATTATAATAAAATAATAAAAAAATTTAAATAAAGAGATAAAAGCATATTTGTCACTTTGTAATTAGCTCTTATTCCCCTCCCCTCCTGAACCAACAAAAAAACATCTCCTCTCATCCCTTTCCTTTAAACCAAACAAAATCATAACCCTCTTTCCTCTCCTCCCCCCTCTCTTTAATTAACCTCTCCTCTTTTTTTCTTTTTTCTTTTTCAATTGAATCAAACAAAGCCTTAAGCTGGCCGTTCATGAGCATGGATTTTAATTTCTACTTGGACGGAGGCCCACATTTTAATATACAGTCGCGGAAGGGCTCCTGGGCCCTAACCTGTGTCGGGGCGACCTTTCCCTTCAGCTAGTTTTCCCCGTCCTGATTTTAATCCCTCGCCGGCGAAATTTGAGGTTCGTTTCTTCGAAGCATCCCACCACGCTATTGTCCTTATTGGGTTGACAGTACACGTCTCCGCGCGTATTATGTAGTGATATTTGTATTTGATCATTCATTTGAAATTCCTATCGTCTGGGCATTTTTACAAACAGCCTGTGCTTGGTGGTTTTAGAATCGACAAAAGTGATACCGTCTGTTCGTCTTGGAGTGATTTATGTTTGGGTGCTTATTTCTCACCAGAGCTATTTCTCTTCATTCCAATTCCAATGGATAGCTGTGAGCTGCTCCGCCTTTTATTGACCCTCAACTACTAAAGTTGTTGTATAGTGATTTGGACACATGATCCGAAGTAGACCTAATCTATCTGTTTTCTCTGTTGTGCTCGTCATCCGTCAGAATTTATACTCTGTTAATCGCAGTAGTATATTTGAGCAGCTCCCGACCACTGCCTTCAATTTCTTGAAACCTTCAGTGTCTGCCTCTTTTCCGTCTCCACCACAATTTGGTTTCTCAGCCCTGTTTTCCTCTTCGTCCCTGTCCGCAAAAGTTGGAGGGTCAACCGATGTCCCAACTCTAGGTTTTGACGAGACTTCTGGTGATGACGAGGAGGTGGTGGATGACCTTGACAGGAATAATCATCCCCACTCTAGTCAGTTAGACTTAAGGGATGATGATCTTGGCCAAGATGTTAAAACGATATTGGATATATTACGTGGAGCAGCTTGTAGACCATCTGAAATTAAATGTAAGCTCGAGAGTTGCAGTATTAATGTATCATCAGAGTTGGTTGTAGAGGTTCTTTCAAGAATTCGTAATGATTGGGAAGCAGCTTTCACTTTTTTCCTGTGGGCAGGCAAGCAACCGAATTATGTTCATTCTGTTCGTGAGTACCACTCCATGATTTATATCCTTGGTAAAATGAGGAAGTTTGATACTGCTTGGACCTTAATTGAGGAAATGAGACGAGGTAGTGCTGCTCCATCTCTTGTCACCCCTCAAACTCTTCTGATTATGATTAGGAGATACTGTGCTGTTCATGATGTTGGAAAGGCTATAAGTACTTTCTATGCATATAAACGATTCAACTTTCAAGTTGGAATGGAGGAATTTCAAGGCCTTCTTTCTGCCCTTTGTCGGTACAGGAACGTAGAAGATGCTGAGCATCTTCTTTTCTGCAACAAAAATGTATTCCCATTCAACACCAAGAGCTTTAACATTATTCTCAATGGATGGGGTAATGTGATTGGTAGCCCACGTCATGCAGAGAGAATTTGGGAGGAGATGGGCAAGAGAGGAATCCAATATGATGTTGTCTCCTATGCAAGCATCATGTCTTGCTATTCAAAGTCTTCTAAACTCTACAAAGTATTCAGGCTGTTTGACCGGATGAAGAAAACCAAGATCACTCCAGATAGGAAAGTTTATAATTCGGTCATTCATGCTCTCGCAAAGGGTAGGTTTGTGAAAGAAGCTGTCAATCTCCTGAAAACAATGGAAGATGCCAACATTTCTCCGGATACTGTTACTTACAACTCACTAATCAGTCCTTTATGTAAAGCCCGCAAAATTGATGAAGCTAAAGAAATTTTAGATGAGATGATGCAGCGGGGTCTATCTCCTACAATTCGGACTTATCATGCTTTCTTCCGTATCTTAAGGACCAATGAAGAAATATTTCAGCTTCTGGGCAAGATGAGGGAATCGGGCTGTCACCCAACTACTGAGACTTTTCTAATGTTGATAAGAAAGTTTAGTCGATGGCAACAGCTTGACATTGTCTTTAAGCTCTGGAGTGAGATGAGTGAAAGTGGAGTCAACCCTGATCGTAGCTCTTACATTGTACTGATTCATGGGCTATTTCTGAATGGAAAGCTGGAGGAAGCATACAAATATTATAATGAGATGCAGGATAAAGGCTTCCTCCCAGAACCAAAAACAAGTGAAATGCTTCAAGCCTGGCTTTCTGGAAAACAGGTAGTTGAAGAACAGATGACAGATTTAGAGCACAAGAAATTAGAGAGTGATTCTGTAGGAAAGAATATCAAGGGTATACCTAGTAAACCAGATAAGGAGAAAGATTTTCTTCGCCAACCTGAGATTAGAAGAGTAAAAAGAGAGCGGGGTTTTTCCTTTTGGGATCAGTAAAGTCTCATGTTGCAGCTGAATCCGATGACACAGTTTTTTCCTAGATGGTTTTCACGATTGTCTAACAATCTTATCAAGTTCCTAGTATACTCCATAAGGTGCATAGTATCTTTTCTCTATGTATACCCAGACTTCAACTATAATAAGAAAGAGATATGAATATATGATGTTTATAAATTCTTATACAGCACTTGACAAGCCATGACATGCAATCTATATTAATCTGTTCCTGACTCATGGTTAACCATAGTGAATACTCTTTTAGATTAGAGCTGAACTCATCTGTCGTGGATATTCATTAGTTTAGACATTAGGTTATTAATTTTTAGATCCATGCTGTATATTATGGAGAATCAACCCCCCTAGGCCATTATAATTACTTGACTTACTGCCTAAAATCTGGAAGTAAAATGTGGGCATATAAATGTAGACACAGAAGGAATCGCCCTGGAAAATTGGTTGTTATATCTACCCATCCACCTGGATTTAAGCTTATGATAATTTTTTCAACATCCAAGGCATAATGAAGTTTTTAATTCCGCTCTATTTTCTTTGAGAACATAGTAGTTTTTTTTCCCCCCATAAATTTGGTCTTCCTTAGTTTACATTCTTGTCCTTGGCCAGGTATGCACCTTCTGTAAATCAATAAATCTTGTGCGGGAGTACTTTCATTTTTATTGAAAAATTCATGAGCTAATTTAACTGTGTACGAAAATAATCAGGTTGCAGTTGGACTTAAAGCTGATTTTGCTGGTCACTTGAATGGAGGCAAGGATCATTAATAGTATTTCTTTTATTCTCTGTAATCTAGTAGTATTGGGCTTCTTGTTTTGGACTCTAATCATAGTGCTGATCAGATTTTCATTCCTTTCTAAACTTTCTTTGGTGCTGTTTTAAAAGCAAATGAGCAGATGGCAATTATGCCTCTTTATATGCAGCTTGTGACATGTTGGACGTGTTTTAACATTGAAACAGAGGTGCAGCCCACCTTGTGTTGGGACATCTGTGTTACAGTGAAAAAAAATCCAAAAACATGAGATCAAGTCCCAGACACGTCTGTGACATGGCTAAGCTGCTTCACATTCGTTGAAGTTCTTTGACATTAAATTGGGATGTGAAAGGGGCTTCCACTTGTTAAAGTAGCCTTTAGTTACTATGTGAATGACTACTGAAGAAGGTAAACAAGGTGATCTTAATTTCTCCATTTTTCCTATCGCATGAAAATCCATCTATAGAAAATTTGAATATGTATAAATAGAAATAATTTCATATTATGTGTGATTTATAGTGTAGTCTTAAATTTTTCATTTATTTAATATAATTCGATATCATATACATATGAAGGCTGCTCCATGAAAGGTAAGGAAATATAACCTAGGATTTCTAGGTCAAGTCAACATTTGGTGTCATTTTTCAAGAACTTATTCCAGTAGGAAGTGATGCAGCAAACACCATGCACTACGTGATTCATTTAACAAGATTGCATCAAGTTCACATGTAGAAATGCATTCTAAAGCTCCACTCCACACAGAGTGGTGTTGCCATTACTTGACTATGCACCTTATCTAGCATGAACTTCTATTCGAAATTCAAGTTCCAAATTCTCTATTCCATGTGCAGCTTGAATATTATATTTCGCCGCTATTTTTTCTTTTTTAAGCTTAGTTGTTTATATGGCTAATCTATTGAATAAAATACTTGAACAAGATAATCTCTCCCGACATGCATTTGACACTATCATATGTCAACAAATCACATGAATTAATTAAAGAAAACCCATTTCAAAGTGGGGGGATCTTAGTTATCAATAGCCACTAAGATATTAGATATGTGCATGACTCTTGAGGCCTGATGAACTTGTGATTGTGGTTAGTGAATAATTCGAGGTTAGGCAGAAGGCATTGTTGGAAAGCAGGAGAGAAACTGCAGGATGGCTATTTTGACAGTGGATAAGGGCAATCCAATAGATTAGGTAAACTACACGTGGAAAACTACAGGAGTCACAGTCAAGACTTTATGGTAGTTGGGAATTAACTAATTATGTATTTTCTATGTGTTTGACTAGTCCTGGGGTTGGCCATGTGTAATTTTCAGCATGCTTAACCAGCCAAATTTTCTAACCATACTACTGCTACAGCCGTTGAAATATCTGTCATCGCTGATCACGCCTATGATCCTTATCCAACATATGAAATAGAGTAATTGGAGAGGGTCATATTTTATGCAAGATAATATGGGTAGGTCTAGAGACCAACAACAACAAACTCATGGCAGTCTTAAAATATGAAATTGAAGTCGGATGAGCTTTCACAACATTGACACAGATAATTTATATTTGTCTGCTTGTTTTAGTCGCAGTAAATGTTGGATGTTCAACTAAATAAATTTATAAAACTATTACTCATGCACCTTTGGTTAATTATATTTGAACAGGCAATTTGGACCATTATGATCAGATATTGTACGTATGGATGGGGACCCGTCAAGCTCACCGCAATCTTAAACGAATGAGGTTGAAATTATGTTAGCTATCAGCTTATTTGATTTGAAGAGATAATTACACATTTGTTTTGCTATTTGCTTGTACTATACCCTATAAATGTTCAATATTCATCTAAATACATAAAAATTTGTTACTCATGCCTCAGCTCAGGTTTATTGTACCCGAATAATCGTTTTCAAGGATTTCCGACCGAAGATTCGTTTTTTACCATCACGAACAGGTACTGTCACTGTAATACAATATGAATAGCGATTTTCTTTCTCGGCTTTGTGCGCGCTAAATGTGCACAAGCAGCAGAAGGGTTCCTATTGGGTGCTGTGTAAGACATAAGAATATACCGCATTCGCCATTCAGCATGTGGGAATATGAATTTGAGGTGAATAAGTAACCTATGACGACCTCGTCTATGAGGGAATCTTTATGGAATAAGCTGTTAGAAATGCAATCCTTAGCAACCTTCTTTTTCTTACCTCACAGCTGACTCAATATCCCATTAGTTAAGTAAAGCTGGAAAGGTATTCCTGCATGAAACCCCAAAACGGCATGTAGACCGAGACGCCCCATCTGGAAGAAATCATGACCTAATAAAAAGCATCTTTTCTTTTTGAGGATACTTACATATGAGAAGGAAAGAAGTCTGGGAGTTGTGGATAATCATCACTTTTTCATTGGTTTTATCTCATCTACCTTTTTCATTATGATTCTTTCAAAGATGAAAGACCCATCTCTTTGTGGCCAATTAAGTTTGGCTGTTTTCTGCCTTTCGGTCCTCAGAACCAGGACCTCCCCATCCCTTTGAATGAAAGTCTCCCTCTCTTTTGACACTCCCTTTTAAGCCCTTCTTTCCGTTTCGAGAAGCTTTGCTCTACTCCATTGGAAAGTTACTCTACAGCCGGTGGAAAGAAATATAGAGTTCGCTTTTCTTTCAATAATAACAACATATTTAATTTGAGAGATGATATTGATGCTATATATAAGACTTATTTTATATATTTATCTTTTTTTTTTAGATTAGCTCTATTGATATTCCATTAGGAAAAAAAGAATAAATTAAAAAAGATAATTATGATGTTTTTGAAAAAACATATTATATTAACTAATTAAACTAACATTCTTAATCTATGTATTATTTAATTACCGAGATATCCAAATATTAAATCATTTCTATGCATGTTAAGTCCAACACAAATCACCTACCTGTATGGTACTGGATAGAGGTTTTTCAAAGGGTTGCATGTACAACCAACAAGTGTTGGTCCAAGTAGAAGGGACTTGGACCCCTTAAACATCATGTTCTGGGTTCGATTCTTGGGGCGGTGTGTATGGAAAAAACACTGTTGGGAGAGGTCCCCCACTACGGCGTCTGACAGTACCCCAAGAGATTAGTCTCTTACCGTTTGGGTGGGAGGATATTCTGAGCAACCAAAAAAAGGATTGCTTGTACAGCAGTTTGGCAATTTGGATGTATTGTGGAAGTGACAAAAAGATTAAATATTTCAAATTGGATATGTGTGGTTAAGGATGAAGAGGGATTAGCACAAACCGTTGTTGATTATGCCTAATTAATGAGTGACGTGGCTGGCTTTGTGGGTTGATTGGTTTTTGGAAAATGATTGCTTTGTGTAGATTGATATTGATTCCTCGTTTGCTTTTTTAGGTCATAACTTATCTTGACTGACCAAATCAAATGTTGAGAAGCTGACCCCCACAACCATGAGGCCACGTGGTGTTATTAATTAAATTAACAAAATATCATTGAAGCATCGCGTGCCAATCAATTATAATCCTCGCTTTGCGCAACTAATTCCAATTTTATAAGTTTCTCCTCTTCTGCGGCACGTGCCTGCCTGATAAGATTCTCCCTCCCCCCCCCCCAAAAAAAAAAACAATATTCCATTTTAATTGCTTTGGTTTGCATATATCCAGCAGCTTTGTTAGCCAAAATTATTGAAAGCTTGGGTGCTCTTGATCCTTGTTTTGCCATCGATAGTGATTTTAGTTTATTTTTTAAAAAATAACATATTTTCAATTAAAGTTTATACATTCAAATAGAATGTGTCCTTCTAGCAGATTAATTAATTTTTGCGATGCAGGGAGGAGGGGGGGAAAGGCAAACCCAAACAGTGAAATTCATAAAAATGAGTCTCATTGGACTGTATGTGATTATTTCTTTATGCCGAAGGACTCCTTGTTATATGGAGGATTCAAAGCTTAGGTACAGCTCCCATGTTTTTTTTAATCTATTTATTCTTTAAAATAACATGATTAGTTCCAAAGAAACGTCGAAAGAATTCAAGCTTCATGAGATAAAAAGGTAGAAATCTCAATGGGCTCCGAGGAAATCACGAAAGGAATGTCAAAATCTTGAATTATCCTCTGGCGCGGCATGCATCGGTTGCTAATGAGACTAATAAACTTAAATTGATTTCAGCAATAGGTAAACGTGATGTTACATACACACACACATAGATATATATATACACATATATATATTTTTATATAACCACGCCAACCACCAAGACAATCATGCTTACGTTGTTGCAGATGCTTGAAGTTAAAGGGTGCAAGCAAAACCAAAACAATCCATCCCCGTTCCTTTTTTTTTTTTTTAAAGATGGTTTATTAATTATTTAGTTAGAAAGCTTCGTTTTTTCTTCTTTTCTTAAAGAAAGAAAATAGAATCAAAGACAAAAGGATAATGGAGATGATTAAGGAAGGCAATATATGAAAAATCAATAATTGAGGAACCACGGCTTTGAGGAAAGGAGAGGTTTCTTTTGGAAGAAGCCAACTTGGGGGACTGGTCAGTGGTCAATGAGGAAGCACCGTTTGATTCGTGGACCGCATTATTGTTTGGGTATTATTCATATTTCATAGGACTCCAACTCCCACAGCAATTATTATCCACTTTCATCTTTTTTCAAAAGTTTCGTACCAAATTGCCACGTGGACGAATAACAGAGGCGCACTTGCAGAACGAAGCAAATCTATATGCTCTCCACTCCCAGATGTAAGTTTTGTTTTAATCCAAAAAATAGAATTTCAATCTTTTTTACTTATCCCAGAATTTTTTTTTTCATATTATTCTAATTAACTTCACTATTTCTCTCTCTCTCTCCAACCACTATTTCTCTCTATATTTCATACATTTAATATGATTTTTAGAATATTGATATTTTGAAAAATTATGTACATTTGAGTACACAGCAACAATAATAGACACCGAATATGATTATTTTTTAATTCTAATAAACTAGTTGATTATATATTGTATATTTAGGATTGAAATGAGTAATATTACCTCCGGTCTCAACTATAAGATTTTGTTTTTAGATTATAAATGAAATCTTATAATTAGGATTGGAAGTAGTAATACTAATTAAGTCCATTGAAACTATTTAGTGACAGTGATGCCTTTTTTTTATTTGAAAAAATACGTTGTTGATTAGTTATACGTAAGTAAATTTATGGAAAGTTGGTATTTATCAACTGCCGAAACGAGTAGTGCCAAACACCCCAAATAAGTAAATAAATAAATAAACCAGGGAATAAGTGTTGGCGGTCAAAAGGAAAACTGTGGAAGGCGTCTCGATTAAATCTCAAATTTCATAAAAAAAAACAGTATTCCGTCATGGCATATAAATTTTAGACCTCTAAATAAATTTCATAAAAATAAAATATGTGTAAAACAAGCTAAATCTTGAAGAAGTGTTCTGTTAATTACATTCCAAGACGTGACTATTAAGATTTTTAAACTGCAAAAAATAGCTCTACATGAATAAAACTCTGCATTCCCTTTCCTCCATATCATTCCAAAGTTTTCAAAATGCACAATCGTCGCTACTCATTGGCGTTCCTTCATTTAAGGGGGGAAAAAATGTAATTCATGCTCAGCCTACGTGGAAGTATGACCCTATGACTTTGTCTTTTTGGTATTCAAAAAAAATCAATTTGAAGTCTTCTTTATCATCCAATGGATGGCTAACTATATTCTTTTTGTTTGATGAATAAAGTGGACCAGGACCAGGTTTTTCACTCCCTTTCTATTTTTTTAAGACACAGTTGATTAAAAAAGTTTGAATGTAATAGCAGTTCAAGTACACACAGTTGTATTATTATTATTATATGGCAGTATCAATGACTTGGCTTCCGAGTAGGATTAGACGATTAGTTATTGTCTTATTGACCTGTTGTTAGAGCCTCCGTTCTTTCTACACAAGGTGTCGAAGTTGGATTACCAGAGCTTAACCATCACCGTACGCGAAGATACAGAGTATTTCTATGTCACATAATGAGATATTAATTATATTTCTTTAATCCTTAATATAATATCTATTTAACTAATTTGATTAGATTAAGAAAGTTAGGTAAGTTAGTTAACTATAAAAAATATGATATGTTTTTCCTGAAATATCATAATCATCTTCCTTAATTTTCTCTCTCATTCTCTTACTTGATTATGGTTGAAGAAATATCAACATGAATAATTTAAAAAAAACTGTTAAATATGATAAATAGGTCTTATATTTAAAATCAATATTAACTCAATAATTAGGTTCTATATTAAGAACTAGATGAGTATTATTCAAAGAAGATTGATAATGTAACCACCTCTCATTGATTTTGGCGAGATGATTATAAATACTACTATCTTGTGACAGAAAAAAATGTGGTTAGTTTGAAACCCAACTCATAAACTTCTTTATTTTAAAAAAAAGTATATGTATGTATATACAATGGTCAAGTATAAATATAAATACATGTATGCATTCACCGCTAACTCATTATTACATAGATTTTTTTGAATCTACTTTTACTGCCACGTCTCTTTCACTCCTTCTTCCAGTTATATTTAAATAAGAATAAAATTAAAAAATAATTACTAAATATCCCGGCAATTGAATTGAAAAATGGGAGTACAGTCAAAGGCTTACGCATAAGACGAGGTTGATGGACGAGGGTGATGGCCACTGGCATTATAACAAATATTTTCTGACCCCGCATGATTCCCCCTTCCTGGCAATAATGTCCATGAATTGACATTATACAGATTTATGACATATAAATTATATATGTATATATATATATATATTACTTATTGGTCGTAAATGCTCATTTATTTGCGCTATAGGTCGAAAAATACTTTATCTGTCGTTGAAAGAAAATAAAAGTATAGCATTTCATAATAATCGTATTAAAGTGATAGCGTCATTATATCTTGAGGTCGGTTGACACGTGTCAGGAGGCCATCCAGGCTAGATGACGTCAGTGGACACCGCCGCCATCTCCCCGTATTCCCAGCTTTAATCTCACGCCCGCTCACTTGCCCCAACCCACGAATTGGATGTCCCACCCTCTCTCCGCCTCAACCCTGTGTTTACTGTTTGGGATATCTGCGATATTATCACGAGAGAATTTCATAAAAATATTTAAAATTACTAAATTTTTAAATAAAAAATCTCTATAAAAAAATATAATGTTATTTATAAATCCAGTCTTGTCAAAATTTATAAAGTGTTGTTACCGGTTTGATATTTAGTACTCCTTCTAATCTTTATTATAAGTTTTAGATAGCTAATTCACAGATAATGAATATGTAGTTAAAATTAGTTAAAAGCAATAAATAGGTTAAAATATGATTTTATTTTAAACATATCCTTACAATAAATAAGAAAAATAATGAAAAAAATGTGACAAGAGATGAGAGAAAATAAATAATCAAGAGTAAAATTAAAAAATATATATATCAAATGTTTAGACAAATCCTAAATTAAAACTTATAAAATGGCTCACATCCTTTCTGAATTTAAAGTTTTTGTGAGATTCTCCTTATTATTTTTCATATGCATTTCATACTCTAATTTTACCTGCAGTGCAACATGTCGGTTTTTTTTTTTAGCTGCCTCTAGTGCTATAATTTTAATCATAGTGTATCTAATATCCTAAATTACAGGTAAAATTAGAATGCTAAATATAATTAAAAGATAATGGCAGGATATTAAATGCACCATCAATAATATTAGGATGCTGGCGGATGTAACAACTTGGTAAATACCCGTATGCTATTTACCTTGGAACAACTTGGTTAAACGATTCGATTAATATGAAGCAAATTGAGCCATGTAGTTTTTGTCCGTATGTAACCATGACGTTTAAGATTTAATATCCGGGTCCTTGACCTGTCCTTTCATGGTTAATATTTAGCAGTGTTTATATATTGTTTCGCTTTATATATTTATTTGATTTAGCTTTGAGACAAATTCCACTACTACAAAATTAAGAATATTTGACAGTTATTTTTGTTTATATTTGACTGTTTAGAACCGTCAAATAAGAAGGCGTCAAATATTTCCAAAATTAATATTTGACGGTTATGAACGGTCAAATATTCCATTCTTAGGAATATTTGATGGTTTTTTGTGAATAACTGTCAAATAATATGATCTTATTTGACAGTTTCTAAAACCGTCAAATATTTGATGAATACTTGACTGTTCTTTTTAAAACTATCAAGTATTCTCAAAGAAAAATTCACGGTTCTTTTTAAAACCGTCAATTTTTCTTCTAGTAAATTCCCTTTCACTTTATTTGACAGTTTTTATTATAACCGTCAAGTATTTAGGGTCAAGTATTGATAATTCTGTAGTAGTGTTCACTGACCATTTGAATTTGAAGCCAGAAACACAAAAGTGACAATACTTTTAATCCGTGCTCTCAGCTCTGTGTCAAATATCCTCTATCTTGTAACACTACTATAAAATTTTTAATACATGTTGATTAATATAATTTTACAAATACATAACGGCTTGTGACCGTTATGTTATCCTCCTAGACGAATACGTCACGTACTAATAAAATTTATGAAATTGTGAGAATTAAACTTAAAAATATATTATGCGTGTTTTTTGCAGGTATAAAATTCGCATCTCATTTTTTTTCTCGATGTATTTGAAGACTATACATGAAAGATATAAAATAAGCATATAAAAAAAAGATCGTCCTACTTGTAATATGTATATATATTGACATCTCTGGCTACCTTTCTATGTGCAGTCGGCAATATCACGATGGAAATATCTCTGGCTACCCTTCTATGTGCAGTCGGCAATATCACGATAGAAACCGGCGAAATGAAGACGCGTTTAATTGTAATTTGAGAATATTTTTTATATGATGATAAGAATAATCAATACTACTTCTAATCCTTAATGTGAGAGTTAGCTTAATATTCAATTTAGTTCTAAATATAAAATTTCAATTCATTTTATTTCTCATATTTATCTATTTTTTTTTCAAGATAGTCTTTATAGTAGCTGCACATGTTAAAAATCTCATCAAATGGTAGTTTTAACTAACATATCTGATTAGTAAGAATATTTTAGGGAAGACAACTCATATTTATTACTATCTCTGATTCTTAATATAAGAGCTTGTTTGACTCTTATTTAATTTTAGTTCTAAATATAATATCTCAATCTACTTTATCTTTTATATTTATCTATTTTTTCAAGATAGTCTTTGTAATAATAGTAGTTCTAGTCAATACACTTGATTAGTAAGGATATTTTAAGAAAAAAAACACTTATTTATTACAAATAACTAACTTAATTAGTTTTCATAATTTACTTAAATTAGTCAACTAACTCTTATATTAAAGATTAGAAGTAATATTATAAATAAATAATTTAACTAATTTAATTAATTTATTCAAAGTAGTTAACTAATAAAAATAAGGCGCGGACGTGATATTTTCGAAGTATATCCACAAAGGATATTAATTGGAGGGACGCATACTTGATCGTAATATGCCTAACATCCAAAATATGGGAAGGAGGGATGAATGTGAAAGGCTTGCGGGGCGCATGACGACAAAACAGCCCCCTCCTTAAATTGGCCTCTCTTCTGCCCTCTCCAAAATTTCAATCCTCTCGTCCTCCTTCATTCCCTCTTCTCTCTGTTATTTCCTCCTTGTCTGTGTGTTTCTCGCCATGAGACCCCTTCAGTCCAATCTCCCTCCTGGTTTTAGGTTCCACCCCACCGACCAAGAGCTTATCCTTCACTACCTCAGCAAGAAGATCGCTTCTTTGCCCCTCCCCGTCTCTGTCATTGCTGAGGTCGATATCTACAAGTTTGACCCTTGGGATTTACCAGGTTCCTTCCCTGTCCATATTCCTCTGGCTCTAAGTTCTGTACTCGTCATCAGCCTCCTGGTTCATGTTTGATGTATCTGTGTGCTTAATTTGTATCAGGAAAAGCTGCGTTTGGAGAAAAAGAATGGTACTTCTTCAGTCCCAGGGATCGAAAGTACCCGAACGGAGCGAGGCCGAACAGGGCGGCTGGTTGTGGGTATTGGAAGGCCACTGGTACGGACAAGAACATCGTATCCCCATCACTGTCCGGTGGATCACAGGGGAGCATTGGTGTGAAGAAAGCTCTCGTTTTCTACAAAGGAAGGCCCCCAAAAGGTGTCAAAACCAATTGGATCATGCACGAATATCGCCTTGCTCACGACAACAAAAAACCCATTAAGCTCAGAGACACCTCCATGAGGGTACATATTTACCTTCCTCGCCACCATAAATTTCTAACAGAAGAATACCGCACGTTTCTGTAAACACTGCAGAATTAACTGAGATTGTTTTATGTCATCTGCAGCTAGATGATTGGGTTCTGTGCCGGATATACAACAAGTCCAAGCATGCCGCGTCGACGCCGACCCAAGAGGCTCCGGCCATGGTGGCTGATCAAGTACAAGATCAGAAGGTTTTCAGAGAAGCCCTTTTGCCAACTTCAACCGGCAGTGCCATGAACCCCCATCTTCCTCCTCGCCCCACCACGCTCACATCTGACAAGTCTCTCTCTTTCTCCAATCTGTTAGATGCCATGGACTACTCTATGTTGAGCAGTTTCCTGTCTGATCAGAGCCACTCCAACCCCACTGCTCCGCCTTCTGTTAACGGTGCCGGCGGCAATATTCCGGATCACCACTTCTTAACTGTGCCTCCATTGAGCAGTCCAGTCCCAAACACGGAACATAGCATGCCCAAACGACAGCTTCCTAACGGGGACGACGATGCCTTGCGCCCATCCAAGAAATATCAGCCGACTTCTCGCAGCTTCCCAGAAACCAACCATCAATACGAGAATAGTAATCCACAATGGAACTTCCTCCACAAGCAGCCGTTGTTGAGTCAGCAGTTGCTTCTAGGTCCTCATCTTCGATTTCAGGGATAATCCAAAAATTGAATGATGAATCCGACAAAAAATAAAGTTATAAAATAGGAAAAGTTTTAAACCTATCAGCTGATCATTACGAGAGGATCAGATCAGAAAGATAGGTTCATTATTTTTTTAGTGCAGTGGGAGGGTGATTAGAATATTAGATTGGATTGGATCAAAGGGAACTGTTTCATACGGAATCAGGGGGGAAAAGGTGAGATTCTGCCATTAAAAGAGTTATTAAGAAACTGGCGGAACAAATTTTTTTTTTTTAAAAAAAGAACAGGAAGATAGATTCCAAGTTTGATTAGAATCGTGAGGGGTTCGTGTAAACAAGTTGTTAATTAATTACCGTAGGCGTTGGGGTTGTGAGGTTAGATATTTTTATAAAATAATCTGTAGATAAGGTATTGATCTGATCTGAATTGTCGTGAATTTTCATTCTTTTTCCAGCAAAATCCTGTGGCCTTCTTTTCCATTTGGACTTCCATTTCACCGCCTATCGTGTGAAAAAAACGTGTAAAACGACTTAATCACCAAGGTGATATTTATCTCGACATTATTAGAAAAAAATTAAATTAATGTGATTCATTGAATATTTTCTAACTCGGCCCAAAAAAATGGAATAGTATTATCTAATCGAAGTTACACGTGATTTTTTCCAAGTTAATTAATTAATAATAATATTATTCAAAACGTTTATTGGACTAGCCACCAGTAATTGACCGTGCGCGTGCCTTGTTCGTGTCAGCTAATGTAGACACATATTATTATACACAAATTAATTAAACCATTAACTATATTATGTACTCTGAAAAGTCCTCTTTTTTTTTTTAATCTCAAAAGTTTTGTTTTCATCTATGCCTTGCCAGGCTAACAAAATGCCTAATTAATGCTTTGAATGGGTTTGGATACAGTAAGATGCCAGGTCCAACTTTGCTTTGTTGTATTTGCCATCCAGTTCACGAAGCATTTGGTCGTGATGCTGCCCTGAACATTTTTCAAAACTTCAGAGTTAAATCATTTAATGGGAGAATAATTCCATGCCGTTGCTTTATTATTTGTATAAATAAACGGCTGCATAAAATGCACGCCGATAATATTGAAGAAAGAGGTTTAAGCACGTGTGGGGCTTGTAGATAAATAATACCAGCAGCAGTTGGCAATTAAAACATCAAAAATTAACACGAATAATTAGTACTTAATTGTACGATGAAAGTATATTAACTAATTAACAGGAATTGAGTCCAGCGGAAAAAATTAATTTTCACATCATAATGAATTAAGATTCAAATTTCTATTGTCAGATGAACCCACGTTTAACAGTATATAATATCTTGAATAGAATTGTTTGCCGTAATTTAAGTATATGATATATGTGATTATTAAGTTAAAAGGGCATTGCAAGTTAGGCGTAGGCACCTCAAAGAAAGAATATACTTTTGAAGAGAGGGGATGTGGTTTGGCTTTGTTTTCTGATTGCTGCGCCTCCCACGTGCTGTTCAATGAATCTTCTATATATGTGCAAGAATTTCATGCCCTTGTTTTCATAATTTATGGAAAATATTTATTTATTACATTTTTTCTCATACAAACTATACAAAAATTCAAGGTAGCTTAGAACGAGTTTGATGTGTGAACTTTGTAATATTTTTATCTCAGAATTCGTTGACCAATTATTGTTTTGTTCGTTATATGAAGGTTGAAAATTGAAGTTGCATTGTTTATAGTCTCTAGGGAACATAATTGAACAACGGAATATAATTCATATGCAATGTGTTATTTATTATTTGGTGAGCGGCCACCAAACCACGGTTGGAGTTACTTGTGCAGTCCTCCCATCTTATTTTCTTTAAACCCAAAAGTTTTTTTTTTCCTGTTAAAGCATAGGCGTTTTTCTATCAGAGGAGATAGAATTCAAACCTTAATTCGCTACTTTGTAAGGGACTAGCTCCTTCTATTAGAATTAATCCCGTTGGTTTAAATCCCAAAAGTTGCTTCCCATTAAAAACATGGTATGTCTTGCATCAAACACGGCATGGATGTCCATGCTCGTTGGGCCTCCGGATCTGGACTTTGGGCCACCAGGGCCCTTGTTATTTCTTTTAAATAATCCGTGAATGTTTTTTGTCCGTGAAAAATTGTTGCTTTCATGTGCGGTCAAATCAGATTTGAGCTCAGTTGGGATTATTTTCTTAATATAATTTTCCGACCACAAAGTTTAAATTCATAAGTCCACGACTTTGCTTATGAATAATTTATAAAAATTAAAAGAGCTGTCTATTCATGAACTCCATGACCTTTTTTTCTCTCTCTTTTTGGTGGTTATTTAGGTCCAAATTTTGATCGTTAGTTCGGACTGCAATGGTTGAAAAACGAACAATTACCATGGGAAAAAAAACCCATGGTCCCAAATAGTTGAGGTGACTCGATTTTAAAATGTTACGCGTCTTTATGGTCTGCAAAAAGGGGAAAAAAATGTCACGTCTTTGCACTTAAAATATGAGAGTCCTAAAAAAAAAATGAGAGAATTACAATGAAATCCTAAGCAAGTAAAACAATTGAAAAACAAGTTCTAGAAGTTATCATTATCATTATAAAACTTGTTATTATAGATTGTTGAGATTGTTATTGGAACTTTTTGGTAATTATTTCTCTTATGTGGGACTTGATTATTATTGAGATTGTTATTAAGACTTTTTAGTAATTATTTCTCTTTTGTAAAATTTGATTGTAATTTCCCAAAAAAATATTGAACAAACGAAATAAAGGACGAATCTTGTTTACCCAGAAACAAAAGGATGAATCTTCATTCTCAGCACTTATTTTGCTTTATTTTTGTAATGACGGAGAGAAACTTATGCCGGGGATCAGAAATTTTAACGGTGTCTTTTAATGCATGTGTATTATCATACTGCCTCCTGTCCTTAATATAAGATTTTATTTGATAATTATTTTATCTTAAATATAAGATCTTAAGTTACTCTGTCTCACATATTTATATATTTTCTTCTTCAGTTCTAGTCAATACACTTGATTAGTAATGATATTTTAGAAAATACAGCACTTATTTATTATAAATAACTAACTTAATTTATTTTTTTAATCTTCTCAAATTAATCAACTAGTTCTTATATTTAAAACCGGAAGTAGTATTAGAGTTATTTTATAAACAGGTATAGAAAAAAAATATTACATTGTTGTTGTTGTTAATAACGTGGCATGTCAAGCTTCCATTTCAGCTTCTCATATCCTATGATTGTTGGCAGCAACGCTGAGTGCCTGTTTGGCATTACTTATTTTGAGCTTATAAGTAGCTTATAAGCTCTATAAGCTCGATTGACACAATTGGGTCTGTTTGGATCAACTTTTTTGCAATCGGGCTTTTGTCTGAAAGGCTACAATAAGCTATAAGCTAAAATTAACAGCTTATGACTTATAGCTTATAGCTTATAGCTTATAGCTTTTGAAATATGGAGAGAGAAAAAGTTAAGAAATTTATTACCTCTTTTGGTTCTTATTATAAGCCTCAAATAACTAATTTGTAGATAATAAAAAATCAGTTAAAATTAGTTGAAAGTAATGAATAAGTTAGAAGTATATTTTTATTTTTAAATATGCTCCTAAAAATATACTTTTATTTTTCATGTTTCACTTTATATTTAAAATATTTTTTATGACTTCTTCATATTAAATTATTTTAATTTCATTGTATTATGTGAAATTATTTTTTAATCATGTTTCATTATTTATTAAAACTCATATCTATTTTGGTCATTTTACAACCAAACTTACTTTTACTCAATCATAATCCAAACAACCTTTTACCAATCTCACTTTTGCAATCTAGCTTTTCTGAACTCTAATCCAAACACAATTCAGCTTATCTAATTTAGCTTTTATCTAATTTCACTTCTCTATAAGTTACTTTTTTAATAAGCTACTTTTTCAATCGCTGATCCAAACGGACCCTGAAAAATTTGGTTCAAATCATATCGTAAATAACACTGTCTTGAAGAGATATTTAACAATTCCTCGATATATTAAGAAGCCGCACTTCTCAAAATCAATCAAACTCTACTCTTTATAGCAATGTTTAGGTCCTTGTGTTGCGACCATCATCATTCCCACACACGCGCTCAATTATTATTAATAGTCAGGAGTTACTTTAATTTAGAAGGGATCTGGGAATACCCCAAAAGTGCTTTAAAAAGGTAATTTTTCACAAATTAAGGCAAACTACTCTACTACTCCCTTCGTTTCTTATTATAAGAGACATTTGATGTTTATGGCAGTTTTTATATATGAGAGACATTTAAAAGTTGTCTCTACTTTTTTGTATTGATTTTCTATTTTATTCCTATTTATTTTGTCTCCAACTCATACTCTCTCTCCCTCCCACTTCTCTTTCTTTTAATAATTTAATTGTTCTCTCTCATACTCTCTCTCCTTATTAATGGGGGCATTGGTGGAAAAAACATTATACTTTTTACACATTAATTGTCCTCAACTAATTTTAACTGTTTTTTTGATCAACGTAATTTGGTTATTTGTCTCTTATAATAAGGGACGGAGGGAGTATATATTTACTTTATACATTATAAAATCACTTTTAAAATCATGATTTGATTTTCAACCAAATATCTTCTTAATTAATTAGTTAAATAATTTTTGCTAAGAAAACAGCCAACAGAAGAAGATTGCCAATCATGTTCGGTCAATGAAGCCCCAGCTTTGCTGAGTGGATTACACCCAATGAGGACGTGGATGACTGTGTGCTTGCTGACGTGTCATTCTGGATCATACATTCACGCTATTATATTTATTCCCGCTCTTGTTGTTTCCTTGCGTTACCAGGCCCGGCCATTAGTACTATTTTAATCACAAATTAAGTAGCCACCCAGCCTCGTCAGTGCCGCTACGATGTCGTTTATGAATTCAGCATTTTTATATTTAAGTTATATACTCTATTTTATAAGATTTTTTTTTATATATATATCCATATATCCATATATCCATTTCCTTGTTTATTAATTTCACGTTTGTCTCGTATATGTCTCGTATAAGTTTTTAAACAATATATACACATATACTTGTGATATATTTTTGAACAATTTAATATGATACACAGCGCAAATTCTGTGTCTGATGATAATATATTACATTTACATATATCAATCATGAAGAATATAGACACAAGTAAATTAAATATTGTATTGGCTGTTGCTCATATGAATTAAGAATTAAAATTTAAAACCATTTTCGCCATGGACTGCTCCAGACATTGCAACATAAATTTGACCTTAAATTTTATTTATATATAACCCAAGCAAAGCGCCGTGGGACATGCTGGTAGGTTTGAGCTAGGAAGAAAAATTATTTTCAATGGCATCGCTCAGTATGAAACACCTAATTAAATTATTTTCCACAACTAATCAATATATGTTTTTTATTTTAA